TTGGCCCCATCCTCCTGACACCCACCCTTCAGATATTTATAAGCATTTATTAGGTCCCCTCGCAGCCTTCTCTTCTTCAGGCGCAACAAGCCCAGCTCCCTCAGCCTCTCCTCGTAAGAGAGATGCTCCAGTCCCCTCATCACCCTCGTAGCCCTCTGCTGGACTCTCCAATAGCAGCTCTTCATCTTTCTTGAAGTGGGGAGCCCAGAACTGGACAGAGTACTCCAGATGGGGCCTCACTAGGGCAGAGCCCATAATTATCAGTGTACTATGTGGTACCTGCCCAGAGCTGTCTTAAGTGGAAGCGAGGAGGCCCTTAATCTGTATTATCTTTTCGGTTATGTATATACGCTTCTTTTCTCTGGAGCATTCTTTCTTCATTTCATACATAGAATCATAGAATCATTAAGGTTGGAAAAGACCTCTAAGATCATCAAGTCCAACCGTCAACCCCACACCACCATGCCTGCTAAACCATGTCCTGAAGTGTCATGCCTACACGTTTTTTGAACACCTCCGGGGATGGTGACTCCACCACTTCCCTGGGCAGCCTGTTCCAATGCCTGACCACTCCTTCAGTAAAGAAAATCTAAACCTCCCCTGGTGCAACTTGAGGCCATTAAAATGAAAGCATGAAATGAGCCAGTTTCAAGACCAGTGGAAATCAGGGGCAGAGTTGTACACACGAACCCTTTTCTCTTCCTGCTTGGATCGATGCATCAGGGAAAACGGGAATCTGCCCAGCATGGCAGTGCTGCAAGCGCAGCACAAAGAGGCACCGCAGCGGTGCTGTAAAAGAGCACAGCGGATAATAATTGGTGGAAGTTGGTTAGGCTTCCTTCTTGGGGTGGTGGCTGAGAGCAGAGGTGGGAAACCTGGAAAGGAGATAATGCAAAGCGGCTCTGGGATGAGGTGGCTTTTTCCTCTCCTTAAGGAATTCTGTACAGCACCGATTCCGTATCCAAGCATGGTCGTGGTCTGGAAGGCGCCAGCTCACATATTCTAGGGCTGAATTTGAACTTTATTATTATTTTCTGATAAATTTGCATGATATGCCAAACTATACTTCTTTCAGCAAGCTGAAACTTCACTTCCAGTAATCCCTATCTGTGCATTCTCGAAGCAGAGCGTTAGTTCTGCCGCACCACATACATCTGTATGATTGATGAAGAAAGTATGAAGTAGGAGAAAGCAGACACCACTTCTTTGCTTCCATTGCTTGTGCCGGTGGTTTTGAGATTAAAACTCAGCTTTTTGGTTTTTACTTGATTTAATCCAACTGGCATTTTTTGTTGCTGGGAAGACAGTTCCAGTCAATCACTGAAGATTGTTTCCAGACTATATTCCTCCCCCCCCCCCCCCCGCCCCGCTCTTTTTGCTAAACAGATTTTCTAAAGGGCACGTCTGTAACTCAGATAATTTGTGTTCAAGCATAAATCTGTACCAAAAGCACGAAAGCTCAGTGGGGAAGGTAATTTTTCTCCTTTCTGTCAATAAATAGGCAAGTAAGTACATAGCCTGCTGTGGCATAATGTGCTGAGGGAGCCGTATGTACCCGAATGGCATACTGAGACCTGCGCGCTGGCTCGTACTGTAACGCTAGCAACAAGCACCCTGCAGCCCCCGTGCAGGCAAAGCTTCTCAGCAAAGTAAGGAAGGCAGGAGCTAGCTAAGTATGAGCCATTTACAGGCTAGTGCTAAAAAGCTCTGAGTAGACATGGGAGGACAGGCAGAAACAGTAAGTATCTGTCTCGCTAAGCTACTAAGAGTTTCTGGCATATGTCAGAACCAGACCACTTGTTATGTGTCGCAGCAGGTCCATTGCTTTCCAGTATCCCTGAAGAGAACAAGAATTTAACTCTCAGATCCCCTCATGATCAGTTCTCTCAGCAGAGAAGCCAGACCGATCCAGCTAGAAACGGGAATGCCAAGGCACAAAAAGAGAAGGTGAAAAAGACCCGTGTATTTTCATACAGAGGTTTAGGCGAAGTACAGTCCACATGAAAACGCATCATCCCAAACAAGAAATGCTTTCACGATCCTGAAGAGCTGTATGGGACCCACCGGCATTGCTCTTCCAGGCAACAAGTAGGGCAGGACAGAAGCTGATCACTTTTATTTTGTCAAGTTCTTATGCAAGACTGTCAGATACATACTTCAGTAGGACTCAGGAAATATGGTCTAGCAGGGTAAAATTAGACCACCACAGAAAACTAAAGTGGCCTCAGGTCTCCAGCTGACTTCGGATTAAACAAAAACAAGTTCCTCATCATTAGGCTAAAATTTTCAGACCTAAAACCCTTCATCTCAGTTGACAAACTCTTCTGTAGCTGCATGAGGAGTGCTGGGGAGGAGTGGCTGGAAAGCTGCCCGGCGGAAAAGGACCTTGGGATGTTGGTTGACAGTTGGCTGAACATGAGCCAGCAGTGCGCCCAGGTGGCCAAGAAGGCCAACGGCATCCTGGCCTATAAGGAGTAGGGTGGCCAATGGGAGTAGGGAGGTGATCGTGCCCCTGCACTTGGCACTGGTGAGGCCATGCCTGGAGTACCGTGGTCAGTTTTGGACCCCTCACTGCAAGAAGGACACTGAGTTGCCGGAGTGTGTCTAGAGAAAGGCAACAAAGCTGGTGAAGGGTCTGGAGAACAAATCTTGTGAGGAGCAGCTGAGGGAGCTGAGGCTGTTTTGTCTGTAGAAGGGGAGGCTAAGGGGAGACCTTATTGCTCTCTACAACTACCTGAAAGGAGGATGTAGTGAGGTGGGTGTTGGTCTCTTCTCCCAGGTAACTAGTGATAGGACAAGAGGCAACGGCCTCAAGTTGCATCAGGGAAGGTTTAGATTGGATATTAGGAAACATTTCTTCACAGAAAGAGTAGTCAGGCTTTGGAACAGGCTGCCCAAGGAGGTGGTGGAGACCCCATCCCTGGAGGTTTTTAAAAAACGTGTAGATGTGGCACTTCAGGATATCGTTTAGTAGGAATAGCGGTGTTGGGTTGATGGTTGGACTCAATGATCTTAGAGGTCTTTTCCAACCTATGATTCTATGATTCTATGAAATAAATGGGCTGACCACATAACTATATTTATACGCAGCTGCGCATCTGCATCACCAATGATGCCTTTGGAAACAGTTCTCTCTGCAGAGGGACCAAATAGATCTACCTCCACATTCCTTTGTTCTCAGTCTTTAGTGGTTGCAGACACCTTTCAGTCCTTGTCTACCAGGAAAACTGAGACGGAGGGAGTAGAAATGACTTGTGCAATGCCAAGAAGATAGCAGAGAATTTGGTCTTCATCTGTGGAGTTCAAGATTATATCCTTAACTCTGGACAGTTCTTCCTCTTTAGACTCTCCAGTTGACAGACTTCATTTCACTACTCTGAGGATGATCAAACACTGGAAAGGTCTGCGCAGAGAGGCTGTGGAGACTCCATCCTTGGAGGTATTCAAGACCCAACTGGACATAGGCCTGAACAACCTGCTGTAGTTGATCCTGCTCTGAGCGGGGCAGGATGGACTAGATGATCCCTTCCCACCTCATCCACTCTTTGATTCTGCAATTCATTTTTCCGTGATGCCTCAACAGATCTGGAAAGGGGTGTCCTGAGGTTCTGGCTGGCAGGTCTACTGCTGTTTTACACTCTAGTACTGTCAGCTCCCCCCCACCCCACCTCCAAAGTAGTTTGCCACACTCAGTACTGAAATGCTCACTCAGAATGAGTCTTTTGCAATAGGAACAAGGAAGTTTCTGAAGTAAACATGCTGTGATTTGTTAATGAATTGTGTAATTTCCACTTTACTGCCAGTAAAGTAGGCTTCTTAAAAAAACAATGATGTCATCAGGTTCTCTTTGTCAATTGGTTGACTATATTAAGAAACATCGACCTCTTCTTTTAAATACTGTGGTCATCATGATAGTCTTTGAAGAGTGGTGGTAAGTTCTTTCTACAGGGGAACCAGCGACCTAAGGAAGCTGAGGCAGAAACAGTGTTAGAATAAACCCATCTAATACTGAACATCAAGAAAGAGAAGAAGGTTGATGTGGGAAATAACTATCCTGTAAGTCTAACAAATTTCTATCTCATATAAATTAACTGTGAATAGATGCAGATTGAGAACTCTTTAACTCCCACATGACAACAGGTCTATGAGCAAAAGCAGCATGGACTTACATAGGACAGATATCGCCATTGGTAGAATTCCAGCAGCAGTCCATGGCAGGAAAAATGTAGTCAATAAAACTGATTTGGATGGTTGTTCAGTACAGTGTTTTATACTCCATCTCACTCACAAAATTAAGTCATTCAATCTAGAAAATGAAATCTGTTATGAACTGAACAGTGACCGTAAAAAATGTCTGAGATGATAAAACAGAAATATAGGGCACTGCAGGAGTCTTGGTTGCATCTAGACTTGGTTTATACTTTCATTTTTTGATCTATAATAATAGTAAAGAGCAAGGTACTCACAATTTCAGAAGATTCAGGTACCAGAGAAATTAAAAGGGGAAAAAGTAGGGAATGAAGGTAAGACAGACTATGGAGAGAAAAAAGGAGGTAAGGGGAAGAATTCCAAACTAATGTGATATCTCTCCTCTTCTCTTTCTACCCTCCACAAAATCTGAAAAGAAAAAACCCAGCATGGGAATAATCCATTTTGTGCTTCATCTTGGTTTTCAAGGAATGGCTGCTCTTAGGGGGAAGCTAACTGTGGTCGGAGATGAGTGCTGTGGAAAGACATGCCTCCTCTTTGCTCTGTGTCACCAACAGCTTCCCAAGTCCTACGAGCCAACTCTGTTTGACGCTTACACCACTGACACAGAGGTAGATGGGAAAGAGATGAAACTGTTTCTCTTCGATGTGGCAGGGAATAAAGAAGTCAGTTACCGAAATCTCCGCTCAGTGTTGTACGAGGACACCGACGTTATTTTAATGTGCTTCTCCGTGGACAGGCCTGACTCACAGCAAAACATCCTCAATTTTTGGGTTCCAGAAATCAAACTGTTCTGCCCCAAAGTACCTATTATTCTGGTGGCTACCAAGATAGAACTAAGGGGTGATGAAGGTATGAAGAAGAAACTAACTACTGCAGACAATGAGCCAATGAACACTACAGAAGGAGAAGCTTTAGCTGCCAGCATTGGGGCAAATGCTTATCTGGAGTGTTCTGCCAAGACAAAAGAAGGTGTTGATACAGCCCGGGAGATTATTAGCCAATGTGCATTAAATCAGAAAAGGAGGAGAAAGAGGCACTACAGGCGCTGCCGAATTTTGTAAGAGGAGTGAACATCATTTTGTTGTTGGATTTCGTGATGTGGAAAGGTAAGTAGGTGTCTTTGTTAGTGTTGTGTGGGTGCTGTAAGGGCTGCTTTTATGGTACAGGAGGAAAAAATTGTGCCTTATGTCTGCAAAGTGTCACACTTGAGAAGTTGGATTGGTTTCCTTCTCCAGCTCCAAAACAGGTTGAAGAGCTCCCTTCCAGATTCCAGCTGAGTACTGGTCTTGAGAAACGGAAATGATCAAGCTACGTACAGCTCTCTATAGAGGTTTTTTTGATCAAGGGAGATACAGACAGACTAGGACAGGAACATAAAACAGAACTATTGGGACAAGCACAAGAACGTGTTGTTCAGTGAATCTAATCCCAGCTTCCTGGTTCGAAGTCTTAGTGGCAAGCAGCTGTGCTGACCAGGTTTCCTCGTAGGCACGCCCTTCCACACACTTCCTTGAACGATGTCCTTAGGGAAGGGAGTCACCACACACACACACACACACACACACACACACACGCGTATCCCATAGTCTGCTGTGCTAATAGCAGTGGGTTTCTGACTGGCAGAACAGGTCTGACTTTAGGATTCATTCGCAGAGCTGGCCTGGGCTTCGTTCCATAAATGCATCAGGAATATAATGTCTAGCATAGGGTACAATGAAGGCAGTGCTATCTCCACCTCTTCTTCAGGCACAGGTAAATAAACTGGGGTAAAACAGCCTGGCTTTAGGGCAGGATAATCTAGTTTTTAATAGAATTCCTACCTTCCTAGGGGTAATGGCTTTAAACTGAAAGAGGGGAGATTTAGCTTAGATATAAGAAAGAAATTCTTCACTACGAGGGTGGTGGGGCACTGGCACAGGTTGCCCAGAGAAGCTGTGGCTGGGGGGCCCCCCGCGCGC